ATTCGGGAGCTCCCAAATGCCATTCAGGTCTGGGAGCCATATACATATATTAATAAAGCTGAGGCTCCCAGGCCCAAATGGCATTCGGGAGCTCCCGAATGCAATTCGGAAATTTGGATCCTGAATGCCATTCGGTTCTGGGAGCCTCAGCTTTATTAATATATGTATATGGCTCCCAGACCCTAATGGCATTTGGGTTCCGAATTTACGGATTGCATTGGGGAGCTCCCGAATGCCATTCAGGTCTGGGAGCCTCAGGTTTAGTGTTATATGTATATACTGTATACGGCTCCCATGTTGCCATAACGAAAATTCATGTTCAGACCCATTCGGATGCATTAAACCGAAAAACACATCTGATTGGCCAGAAAAGTAGTTTTTGTACGAAGTTCGGACAGAATTCAGAAATGGAAATTCGGACGCATTTGGATGCGTTGGGATTTGGAAATTTGGAAATATCTGAATTTTGGAAAATTCATCCGAATTTTGATTCGGAACGAAACGAATCGCACATGTCTAGTAGTTGCCTCGTTACGGTGGAACACTGCCCACAGTAATAGACGACTTTGTACAAACTTCTCTCCAATCGGGTACAAGGCTGAAGTCACCTATGCTGTGGCCCTACTAAAGAAATGGGCCCCTACATTTTGTTGTTTTCCATTTTGTATCTGTAAAGATTAATTTTTCGGCATGGGGTTTGTGGCGTCTCACCAGAACAGAATCCATTATGAAATGTTTATTTGCAAAACCAAGACTGTATACATGAGTGCGCTCAACGCATCAGAAATGCCTGGATGGGCCCAAAGTGAAAAGCTATTGCCGTGCTCCCCCTTTGGAAAATAAAACAGAATGCTCTGCAAAACCAGTGTCACGAGTGCACTCTGTATTCATTGTTTATTTATAAAATAAAGATTTGATATACAAAATGTATAAAACATCAGTTTAAATACTAGTAACTCAAACAAAACTCACCCATTATTGTTTTCTTTTAATAAATAATTTATTTTTAACAAAATGTGCGCAGACCAGCCAAGTTTAATCGTGTGATTGTTTTTATCACTTAGAATTTAATTTTCTAAAAAAATAAAATACACAAAAAAAAAAAGTACACACTACATACATGTAACATGACACAGTAATTATAATACAAAGTAGGGATGTATCAATAGCAGTTGTTGAGATTTTTTTTTTGGTACTCGCCGATACCGGTTCCTTGTGCCCCGATTAACATGACCAGTCACCCGGCTTCCTGATTGCCTGTAAAGCCGGCTTCACTTGCCCAGGCTGCCTGACCAATCAGGAAGACGGGTGGCGAGTCATGAGGTGCCGTCCAACTTCCTGATTGGTCAGGAAACCAGGCTGCCTACCAACAAGTGAAGCTGGCTTCCTAGCCAATCAGGAAGCCAGGCGACACGTCATGACCCACCTCCTTCTGATTGGCTATGAAGGCAACTTCACTTGTTCCTAGGCAGCCTGGCTTCCTGACCAATCAGGGAGGCGGGTCATTATGTGCCGCCTGGCTTCCTGATTGGTTAGGAAGCCAGGCTGCCTAGCAACAAGTGAAGCTGCCTTCCTAGCCAATCAGTAAGCCGGGAGGTGGGTCACAGGCTTCCTGATTGGAAAGGAAGCCGGCTCCATGCTACTTCGGCACTGCCAGTCAGAGGGAGATCTCCTTCTGACCAGAAGTTCCGGTATCGGAGGTAAGTATCAGAGCATTTGGGCCAGTACGAGTACTCGCCTAAATACTCGGTATCGGCACTGATACTAGTATCGGTACATCCCTAATACAAAGGCTATCCCAGTATACATGATGTTGACTTTCATCAGTCCTTTACTATATACAGTACAGTAAGATCCAAGAGAACTAGTCTTCCTCATTTTGGAACCGCTTGTTATGGTAGAACTATAGCCAAAGCTAGTTTTGAGTTTTGGATGGAGTGATGAGAGATTAGAACATCTGCCAGGTCTTAATTCCTGTATGTGTCCCCGTTAGGGAGAGTTACTCTTTCTATTTGTTTTGGTGACCGTTATTACCGAAAGTGAAAGTGGAAGGAAATTCAAAATTCTGAGTTGTTACCAGAACAGGAATAGAGGGGAAGTCCAATGGGGACACTAGTTCTGGTGACAACTGCTTTGTAAGGAATTTTCTCTTACTTCCTGTATTGGCTATGGGCCAGGAAGTGAAAGAAAAATTGCCCCTGATGGGACACGGGTGACAAAACACTGATGTTTTATCACCCGTCTCTTACTTCATCCAAAACTACCAAAAAAGTTTTGTTTTTTGTTCCACCTTAAAGTGCAGAGCCCAAATTTTTTTTTAAAATGGAGTCGAATTTTTTTTAAATCTCCATCAACTCGTTTTGCAGTGAGGAGATGTCCCTTCACTCCCAGTCCTGGAGACACAACAGGAAATCTCAGTGAACTTAGACTGTTGTCACTGGAACAGGTGTCCCGATTTTGGGGTTTTTCCCTTACTTTTAGATTGTAAGCGCTCAGGGGCAGGGCCATCCTTACCATCGTCTTGAATTCTGATTGTAATTAGGGATGCACCGATATACCGGCCGCCGAAACATATTGGACGACAATGGCACTTTTGGCATAATCTGCGGAAGGAGAGTGCTGTGAGCGGCCGGCGTCTCACCTCTCACACCACTCAGCCTCCTGTCACAGTCCGGCAGAGCGGTGTGTGGGCGGAGACAGTCGACGCTGTCACAGGAGTCTGAGCTCTCCTCCCTGCTCCGCCCACTCAGCCTCCTGTGACAGCGTGTCAGAGAGGAGAGGGGGTACAAGCAGTCACTGATCAGTGATCGCTGAGTGTATGTACATAATTGAGGACAGAGTACGGTTCCTTTATCCTCAATTATGAATGTATGGTAAGTGATCTACATCACTTCCTGTTCATTCATAATTGTAGATATAGTAAACACACTCTATCCTCAAGTTATGAATGAACAGGAACACTCAGTATAGAGGATTCCTGTTCATGTATATATGGGGATACAGAAAACCAAAAAGGACTCTGTGTTCTCAATCTCTTTTTCTATTTTAAAAGGCAAATATCAGGGCTCAGTTTAGACCCCCAATATTTCCCCGAAGCCCCTAAAAGTAATGTAAAAAATAAAAATATTTAATAAAAAATGAATAAATAAAAATAAAAAATGTAAAAGTTTATAAAAAATAAATAAAAATATAATATTGGAAAAAATGAAAATAAAAAGCTTTTTCGGTCTGAAATTTTTTTTTAATTTCGGTTTCGAAGTTTCCATTTCGGTGCACCTCTAATTGTATTGTCTTCCTTATATTGTAAAGCGCCTATATAATTCCTGTATAATAATACCCACTGCCCAAATGACAACTCAACATTTTTGGAATTCCCCTCTCGCTCTCTGGCAAAGGCCGCCAGGACAAATACAGAAGGTGAATCACCGCAGCGGGGACACAGATAACAATGAAAACTTGACAAATGGTCTCTAACCCTTCCCTACTCTATCCAAAATTTGACATACATTTTAAGAATATTATCATCATATTTGGGCAATACGAGTTCATTGCCAATGCCATTTTTTTTTGCACTTATTTTATTGTTTTTATGTTACATTTCTATAATGACCGGCAATGAGAAAACAAAATGAAGGCTGAATATACAAGAGCTTTTTTGTTGTTGTTTTAAAGAAGTACTCCTGGAACAAGTCAAAGCCTTACCCTTGCCGTGGGGCTTCCCTTGCATTGCAAGGGGGCTAACTGCTAGTTTTGTCTCGGGTGCTCAACTAAAGCAGATTTACTCACCTTATCTTCAGGCCAGCTGGGCTACTAGACCGGACCCTGGGCCCCGGTGGTCTAAGCACTGTCATCAGGTCCATTCAGTTGCATTAGACATGAGGACGCTAAGGGACAGTCCTCAGCAGAGGCGGAGCGAAAGAGAGGTGAGCACTGACTGCCTTGGGAACGAGAATCGGGGGAATATATCTGCTTTATTTGAGCCCCCCTAGACAAAAGGTAACACGAAATCACCTGCACTCCATACAGACCTTAAAGGAGAACTATGGGGTTAAGGCTTTTCCCCATAGTTCTTCTCAGAGTAACGGGAGGACACAAACTAGCGTCCTCCCATCACCCTAGGCTCAGTATACCGCGAGCTGTAGCTCGCGGTATACTGAGACGCCGCAGCTGAAGCGGATCCCGACAATTATGTCTGGATCCGCCCAGCTGCGTGACTAGATAGGCAGAGCCAGCTGTTCCCGCCCCCTCCCCCGTCCGTTCCGCCAGTCAGCGCTGGAGGGTCAGAGCGGGGAATCCAGCCCCTCCCCTGTCACGGCAGAGAGCCGTGACAGGATCGAGAGGTGAGCGAAGGCCGGTATGTGTTCCCTCACCTCCCGATCTACTGAGCCGACCTGTGACAGTCTCATTGTCACAGGTCGGCTAGAACTATGAGGTGAGTGAAAAGCACTCACCTCATAGTTCTCCTTTAATGGAAGGTTGGTGCTTGAAGTGACAACACGGATGGCGCCGTGTCAGATACAGTCCATAATAGAAGTCACCAGCACTCGATGATATGTGCAAGACATCATCAACATCATCGAGTGCTGGTGACTTCTATTATAGACCCTAGACAAAAGGAGCACTTAACCCTTGCAGTGTGGCGTTAGGGTAAGTCTTTGATTTTCCCGGAGGTGAAGACAAACACATGGTACTTTTTGGAATAGGGGAACATGTGATCAGTCTCCTCCCTCCTTCCAGTCCCATGCGGCTGGGTAGGGAGTCCTCAAGCCCTGTGTAAGCTCCAAGTCACACCACGGGCCAATTCTAACGGCATCCTCCCGTAGTGTGGAAAGTGCACCTAGATTGCGAGCTTTGTTCTGGGTATTTTCTGACAGCTTGTAAACCGTCCATGTGAAAGGACGCTTACTCAGCTGTACCGTCATGAACCACTTCTCTCGTGCGAGTACTTAGACATCAGATAAGGAAAGATCCCTCTAAGACCCGTTTTCCACAGTCAGGACATGAACGCGTTTAATGTGTTTAACCAGATCAGATTTATCCGTAAAGCATTTCTCACAATGGGAACACGTATACGGTCGGTCACCGGTGTGAATTCTTTCATGTGTGACCAGGTGTGACCTTTCAGCAAAACTTTTCCCGCACTCCAGACACGTATACGGCTTCTCCCCCGTGTGAACTTTTCTATGTCTGCTCAGGGACGACTTCCTAGAAAAACATTCGCCGCACTCGGCACAGGAAAATGGCTTCTCTCCCGAGTGAGACCTCTGGTGTGAAATAAGGTTCCCGATCTGGGTAAAACATTTCCCGCATTGGGGACAAGAGTGTGGCTTTTCAGCCGTGTGAGTCCTCTCGTGATAAACGAGGTTCGACTTGTGGGTGAAACATTTCCCGCAGATTGGACATGAGAAAGGCTTCTCGCCTGTGTGAATTCTGTGATGCCTAATGAGCTGAGATTTCGAAGAGACGCATTTCCCACACACAGAGCAAGAGAAGGGCTTCTCACCCGTGTGAGATCTCTGATGCGTCAACAAGCTGTCTTTCCTAGGGAAGCATTCGCCACACTCAGAGCAAGGAAAAGGCTTCTCGGAGGTGTGGCTTCTTTCATGGATGACCAGGGTGGACTTCTCTGTAAAACACTTCCCGCATTCGGAACATGCAAAGGGCTTCTCCCCCGTGTGAACTTTTTCGTGTCTGATAAGAAATGACTTTTGAGAAAAACACTTCCCACACTTGAAACACGGGTACGGCTTCTCTCCCGTATGAGTCCTCTGGTGTCTGACGACATCAGACTTTTGTGTAAAGCATTTACCACACACGGGGCACGAATGGGGCTTATCCCCGCTGTGCCACTTCTGATGCCTCTGGAGAAAAGATTTTTGAGTGAAACACTTCCCGCATTCGGCGCATGAATATGGCTTCTCTACAGAGCGGTTTGCCGTTACGGGCTTTTCTCCTGCATAGTCTTCTGGGATGTCATCGTCTTCCGTTTCACCATCCGTAGTGATAGTGTGATGATTCTCCGTATTGCATTTTCTGTATCGTCCATCTGGAGGAAACAAGAGATGAAGAAGGAAAAGGAATGAGGAATCCCATTTTAAGGGGTGTTCTTTAATCACTTCAGGACTGCCATACGTATATCAGCAGAGTGGTCCTGGGTGGTTATACCAAGATTACAGCCGTGACCTTGTTCTCTTCAGCAGGGCCCCAGCTGTCACATACAAGTGTTTGAGCACTTGTCAAGCCGCTCGTTCACATGTATGCAGGTGATGAGTGTGCACGCCTAGTCCCCACCCCCTCTGCCACGGGCTCTGCTGTCCCCAGAACCGTCACAGGGGGTGTCTGTGGCTTGATCAGAGGAAGATCAGTACACTTCCGGTGTCATGTCTCCAGCTGCTGTGGCGGGTGCAGGAGCTGGAGAAGCACGATCAGTCCTTCATCAGCTTATCCATAGACATTAAGAGACTACTAGATCCCTGATGTCTCCATAAAGAGGACCTGTCACTTGCTTTATGCTATTACATAGGGCCTTGTTAGCCCGCCCCCTATGTGATTGCAATAACGTTGCAGCATGACAAATTAAAATGACATTAAAGGATAACCCCCCCCCCCCCCCCGGTGGGTTCGGGGCAGTCTTTAAAATATG